GAAAAGGGGATACAGTTACTTTGTGTGTGGTCAAAGTTAGACGGGACTGTTGGGATAGTCCGTAACGGGATATTTTCGACACTTTTCTTTTAAGGGATTATCTTCCATATTTGCAAATAACAGAACTGCTGACAACTTGAGCCAAAACAGCGTTTATGTAAACACCTACTAAAGAAACAATAAAAAATTCAAGCAGAACCGTTACAGCAATAACTTTAGAAATGTTTTTCGAAGCTTTAACGATTGTTTTATATAGAGAAAGAAATGCAGAATATTTAGATAAGGATTTAGATAAGGATATTAAGATAAATTGAGAGACATGGTCAGAATAATCAGCCGAGAGATCTATTTAGAAAAATACGCTACCTGACAAGAGACTTCAGAGCCAGAACTTGGGCCATTGAAGATAACACTGGAACCCTGAGAACAAACAGAGAAGACATAGCAGAGCCATGGAGATCGTATTGCAGGGACCTATATGAAGATGATCAACGCCAAGGGCTTGTTAGCCAAATCTCTGACGAGGTGGAAGAAGATCCTGATATACTCGAAAATGAAGTAAGACAGGCTATCAACAAGCTCAAATATAACAAAGCACCAGGTCCAGATATGATAACAGCAGAAATGCTTAAAGCCACAGAAGAAACCGGCGTAAAGTTACTTCAGCTACTCTGTAACCAAATATGGCATTCCAAACAATGGCCTGAAGACTGGACAAAATCGACAATAACGACCATACATAAAAAAGGCAGCTTCCATAAATGCGACAATTATAGAACTATCTCTCTTATATCCCATGCCAGCAAGATAATGCTACATATAATCAATGAGAGACTGAAAACATTCCTTCAAAGAGAAATTCCACAAGAGCAAACTGGATTTACCAAAGGTAGAGGCACTCGAGAACACCTGCTGAATATAAGGCAGATAATCGAGAAATCTAGGGAATTCAACATCCCACTATACATCTGTTTTATAGATTACCGTAAAGCGTTCGACAGGGTCAAGTGGAGATACTTATGGCGAATACTAAAAGAAGTAGGCGTACCACAACATCTAATTACGCTTATAACCGAACTATATGAACACTCTACTGGATCAGTTAAAGTACTTGACACACTTTCGAACGAGTTTCATCCAGAACGGGGTGTCAGACAAGGATGTATACTATCTTCACAATTATTCAACATATATGGGGAGTATATTATGCGAAGAGCACTTGAAGGATGGGAAAAGGGCATCTCAATAAATGGTCATAAACTAAACAACCTACGTTTCGCAGATGACACAGCCCTTCTTGCAAATAGTCAAGCAGAGCTGGTAGAACTTATACGACTGATCGAAAACGAAAGTCAAATATTTGGTCTGCAATTAAACATATCAAAGACAAAGATCATGATAGTGGATAGACTACACAACAATCATCCACACATAACCACAATTGACCGGTTCGAGGTTGTGAGCTCAAACTTATATCTGGGATCATTAATCACAAACACGGGGTCATTACAAGAAGAGATTAAACGTAGAAGTGATCTAGCAAAAGTTGCCACAGCAAAAATGACCAAAATATGGAAGGACTGTCAAATTTCAAGAGCGATAAAGATGAGGTTGATCAACTGCTTAATATTCCCAATACTGACCTACGGATGTGAATCTTGGACTCTGAGACAATCGGAGAGAAGAAAGATAGAGGCCACTGAAATGTTCTGTTGGAGACGAATGTTACGAATTCCTTGGATCGACCGTAGAACAAATAATTCAATTTTAAGAGAGCTAAAAGTTAGCCAACTACTCTCTAGTAAAGTCCATCTTCAGCAATTAAAATATTTTGGGCATGTTATGAGAGCAAACCCAGAAAACATGGAAAGACTCATAATACAAGGAAAGGTAGAAGGCCGAAGATCACGAGGAAGATCCCCAACAAGATGGATAGATCAAATTACAGGAATATGCCAAAGACCTATGCATGAATTAAAAGAAATGACTAGAGACAGAGATCTCTGGACACGGACAATACACGACATCACGTCGACCACTACACTCCCCCTGGGGGGTCAGGATTGTAGAGAGAGAGAGACTGTGGGTGGTTTATTAAGGTATTTTTATTGACACGGTCAACAATATGTTTTCACGAAAAAGAAGTTAAAATCATATACTTGGTGTTTTTTTTTTTCAAAGTTAAATGAAATACCGAAAATTAAGCAAAAAAGGGGGTCAGTAGTAAATAAAAGCAAAGCCAAATACACGATATTGAACAGAAAAGCAGAAAAAAGAGAAGTAATAATTGAAAATTTAAAATTTAAAGGAACTTCAAAATCCTAGGAGTATAAAAATTAATGAAACTAAAGACTAAAGCGGGGTACAATTCAGAAGGATAATCAGGCTATCAAAAAATCAATAAATTTACTTAAATCTAATAACGTTAAAATAAACTTAACTTACAAACATTAAAATGTATAAAACATTGATCAGGCAAGCGATTGCTGACGCAATGGAAACCGATACAATAACAGAAAAATATGATACAAAATGGAACGAGAGTTTAGTAATACTCTTATACAAAAAAGGGGATAAAAATGTGTCCTAAAGAATTATAGACCTATATATTTCGTAGACTATGAAAAAGCAGTTGATAGTATCGAGATGTGGTCTATAGAACAAGCTATTAATAATTGTAGAATATATTCGAGATATGAGCAACTAAGACATAATATATAAGAAAACGCAACTATAATAGTACAACTAGACAAAAATTTTGGTGGTATACAAGGCAAATATCGAACACAGTACTTAATTAAATCTTGCCCAAATCTTGCCCATTCGATCAATAGATCATCCTCTGGGGCATTTCGTCAGTTGTGGCTTATCCGACATGAGCAGAATGTCATACATGTAAATTTGGACATAACAATACAATACACAAAGACAAACAAACACTTTAAAATTTTTAAAAATGGAGAAGCTACATGTTATATAGAAGCCGAAGACAGAATCTTTCATTTATCCAAGTGAATTAATTTTCCTTTTTTATAAAAAACGTTTCTTGACTTATTTCAGATGCCCCTGAAGATGATCTATTGATCGAAAGTACTTGGGCAAGATTAAATTAACTACTGTGTTCGATAGTTGCCTTGTATACCGTCAAAGTTTAAAAATACGTTTATTGACGTTTTAATGTCCACTTCGGAAATCGTTCTCAAAATACAAACAGTAAATTAAACAAATTTTGTCTGACTCATTTATATTGACAATTCAGACATACATTATGCATTTTAAAGTAGACGACTTTAAAATGATATTGCCAATATTGTTGAGTTGCGCTCCTGGGACGACTTTACTTATAAGATAGTTCATTCGATTACATGAAATCAACTTTAACTTGAGAATATCCGTCAGAAAAAAATCATAGCATATAATTCGTATTTAAAAAGACAAACACATGACATGATGACAGTAAAATTCTCCTGTTAGTGATTCCATAGTAAATTATGAGGGAAAAACCAGGAAAAAAACCTCATAATACTATCCCGACATGTTAAGTATTTGTTCGTGCAATTAGTTTACCTTCAATAAACACCAAAATTCTGATTTTATATGTTTCGTTATTTAAAAAAACATAAATGATGTATCCTCTATATGTTACTGACTTACTAATACTGGTATTTTCTTATTAATAACTTCCTCTTTCAATATTGGTAATCAGATCCTACTACATTCTGCCGAGGAATTTGCGACACAATTGGCCTCATTTAGCATAATTAAAGCCGCTTCTTTGATTTTTCTTTTTTTACCATCCGTCTCTTTTAGGACTACATTTGATTATTCCATTGAACCCTATGTTCATTATCCCAAGCGTGTTTACATATTTGAGATCAATCATGGGATAATGAACATAGGGTTCAATGAAATAATTCAAATGTAGTCCTAAAAGAGACGGATGGTAAAAAAAGAAAAATCAAAGAAGCGGCTTTAATTATGCTAAATGAGGCCAATTGTGTCGCAAATTCCTCGGCAGAATGTAGTAGGATCTGATTACCAATATTGAAAGAGGAAGTTATTAATAAGAAAATACCAGTATTAGTAAGTCAGTAACATATAGGGGATACATCATTTATGTTTTTTTAAATAACGAAACATATAAAATCAGAATTTTGGTGTTTATTGAAGGTAAACTAATTGCACGAACAAATACTTATCATGTCGGGATAGTATTATGAGGTTTTTTTCCTGGTTTTTCCCTCATAATTTACTATGGAATCACTAACACGGGAATTTTACTATCATCATGTCAGGTGTTTGTCTTTTTAAAGACGAATTATATGCTATGATTTTTTTTCTGACGGATATTCTCAAGTTAAAGTTGATTTCATGTAATCGAATAAACTATCTTATAAGTAAAGTCGTCCCAGAAGCGCAACTCAACAATATTGGCAATATCATTTTAAAGTCGTCTATTTTAAAATGCATAATGTATGTCTGAATTGTCAATATAAATGAGTCAGATAAAATTAAATTATTAGAAAAATTTTTCACTATGTAACAAAAATCAAAGTTTGTTTAATTTACTGTTTGTATTTTGAGAACGATTTCCGAAGTGGAAATTGAAACGTCAATACCGTATTTTTATCTTTAATTGTGGCTTATTCCCAGTTAAAAAGCAATTAATTTAAAATGCCACAAGAAAATAGCTTCAGAACAATATTAAGATGGAATAAGTGTGAAAAAGTTTTTTTCCTTAATAGTATTTACTTAAATGTATATGTTTTTTTAGCATTGGTGTATAAAAATCGCTTTGGCCGCAAAAACCGAAACGTTAAATAAAGTATTATTTCCATGAAATCGATTTAAAAGAAAAACAAAAATAGCTTTTATTAACAATATTAACGATCGATAATACTTATAATGTATTTTGTGAACTGATTTTAACATTAAAGAAAGTTTTATATTTGACAATAACCGTTTTCCCTAGGCATTTCGACTCCTATTAAAATTCATACCTCGTTTAATCCTGCAGCCAAAGCAGCTGAAAAGCACACAAGTGACAAAATCGTAAGTCCACCGAACATTTTTTGATGGTATTAGTGAACCAACTCACAAACTTAGACTGTTCACGGTTAATTCAAAAACGCCGGATAATCGAAAAAATTGCACAATTTCTACGACTCTGGCTTCACCTACTCTCATTTTTCCCACTACGCAGGGTTGTCTTCTGCATCGGCCACAGTTGAATAACTCGCTTGATTTTATATGCAGGCGAACAGCGGCGTACATCTGCACTGAGAGGTATTCCTCAATTTTTTTTTGCATTTCACTTGCTGTTACCGTTGAAAACCATTGTCAGTGACAGTCGTTTAGTAGTTTATGGATTTCTAACCTTCAAATCGGTCGGGAACCAATTTATAACGGTTACTTTCCCGGTTTTAGAAATACGATTTTTTTCTTCAATATCGTATACATCAAAGTTATTAGTATTTAAATGGAAACAAGCCACAATTAAAGGTTAAAGTAAGTTTATAATAAACGTACTATAACTTTAAAAATAGCTTCAGAACAATATCGTATACATCGTATTTCATATACGACGTGATGTCGTGTATTGTCCGTCTCCAGAGATCTCTGTCTGGTCATTTCTTTTAATTCATGCATAGATCTTTGGCATATTCCTGTAATTTGATCTAACCATCTTGTTGGGGATCTTTCTCGTGATCTTCGGCCTTCTACTTTCCTTGTATTATGAGTCTTTTCACGTTTTCTGTGTTTGCTCTCATAACATGCCCAAACTATTTTAATTGTTGGAGATGGACTTTACTAGAGAGTCGTTGGCTAACTTTTCGTAAGGAATTCGTAACATTCGTCTCCAACAGAACATTTCAGTGGCGTCTATCTTTCTTCTCTCTGATTGTCTCAGAGTCCAAGATTCACATCCGTAGGTCAGTATTGGGAATATTAAGCAGTTGATCAACCTCATCTTTATCGCTCTTGAAATTTTGACAGTCCTTCCATATTTTGGTCATTTTTGTTGTGGCAACTTTTGCTAGATCACATTTACGTTTAATCTCTTCTTGTAATGACCCTGTGTTTGTGATTAATGATCCCAGATATAAGTATGAGCTCACAACCTCGAACCGGTCAATTGTGGTTATGTGTGGATGATTGTTGTGTAGTCTATTCACTATTATGATCTTTGTCTTTGATATGTTTAATTGCAGGCCAAATATTTGACTTTCGTTTTCGATCAGTCGTATAAGTTCCATCAGCTCTGCTTAACTATTTGCAAGAAGGGCTGTGTCATCTGCGAAACGTAGGTTGTTTAGTTTATGACCATTTATTGAGATGCCCTTTTCCCATCCTTCAAGTGCTCTTCGCATAATATACTCCCCATATATGTTGAATAATTGTGGAGATAGTATACATCCTTGTCTGACACCCCTTTCTGGATGAAACTCGTTCGAAAGTGTGTCAAGTACTTTAACTGATCCAGTAGTGTGTTCATATAGTTCAGTTATAAGCGTAATTAGATGTTGTAGTACGCCTACTTCTTTTAGTATTCGCCATAAGTGTCTCCACTTGACCCTGTCGAACGCTTTACGGTAATCTATAAAACATATGTATAGTGGGATGTTGAATTCCCTAGATTTCTCGATTATCTGTCTTATATTCAGCAGGTGTTCTCGAGTGCCTCTACCTTTGGTAAATCCAGTTTGCTCTTGTGGAATTTCTCTTTGAAGGAATGTTTTCAGTCTCTCATTGATTATATGTAGCATTATCTTGCTGGCATGGGATATAAGAGAGATAGTTCTATAATTGTCGCATTTATGGAAGGTGCCTTTTTTATGTATGGTCGTTATTGTGGATTTTGTCCAGTCTTCAGGCCATTGTTTGGAATGCCGTATTTAGTTACATAGTAGATGAAGTAACTTTACGCCGGTTTCTTCTGTGGCTTTAAGCATTTCTGCTGTTATCATATCTGGACCTGGTGCTTTGTTATATTTGAGCTTGTTGATAGCCTGTCTTACTTCATTTTCGAGTATATCAGGTTCTTCTTCCACCTCGTCAGAGATTTGGCTAACAAGCTCTTGGCGTTGATCATCTTTATATAGGTCCTGCAATACGATCTCCATGTCTTTGCTATGTCTTCTCTGTTTGTTCTCAGGGTTCCAGTGTTATCTTCAATGGCCCTAATTCTGGCTCTGAAGTCTCTTGTCAGGTAGCGTATTTTTCTTATCTTATCTAGCGTATTACATTTATATTCATAAATCATATTTTATATAACTTTATCATTTACAATTCACACAACCCTTGATTTTCTTTTGATCTATATGCGTGTCCTTAGTCAAGATACAGTTAACTTCAAAATACAGAACGGTTAAATTGTAAGCTTTTAGTACAGTGACAGGAGTAATACTTTTTTTTGAGGCCCTTTTCTCTATTCAGATTCCCGAATATAGGCCTCTTCCAATTCTCGCCATTCATCTATGTTGTTTGTAAGACGTTTCCACATTAGTCTTGCAGTTCTTTTAATATCGTCGCTCCAGCGCATTTGTGGTCTTCCTCGTGGTCTTTTGGCTTCATATGGCCGCCAATTCCCGACTTTTTTATTCCATCAGCCATCCTTAAGACGTTCGTTATTTTTCCAGCCCATTTCCATTTCAGTTTAGCTGCCTGTTGAACAGCATCTTTTACTTTCGTTCTGTTACGAATGTCTTCATTGGTTTTATGTTCCATAGCTCTTTGGGTTTTTCTGATCTTCTTCACGTTTATTTTAGTGAATGTCTAGGTTTGAGCTCCATATGTAAGTACAGGTAGGATATAGGAATTAAACACTTTAGTTCGCAGTCTTTAAGGTATATTTGTATTTTTAAGTACGTATGAGAATGCTGCCGATATGTATTTTGCAGATAATGAAGATATGTGTATTCATCTACGTGTTCTATCTTTGTCCCTTGGATGTTTATCATAGGTTTGTCATCTTTGTTTGACATTAGTTTAGTTTTGCTGAAATTCATTTTCAGTACTTTTTTTAGGGATTCTGTGTGTAGCTCCTCAATCATCGTATTCAGTGCATTCCACGTGTCGGCTATTAGTTCTACATTATCTGCGTATCTAAGTTGGTTCAAGTATCTTCAGTTAATAGGGATTCCCTTATTTTCCCAGTCTATTGACTTAAATATATCTTCTAGAATAGCTCTAAATAATTTTGGAGATATTGTGTCTCCTTGTCTGATTTTTACTGGTTTTGTTTCGATTCCATTATCCAACGTCACTATTATTTCAGTTTCTTCGTAAATATTATGTATTAATATTCTGTACTTGAAGTCAATCCGATTGTTGACTAATGCTTCTTCTATTACCCACAGTTCTACGCTATCAAAAACTTTTTCATAATCTATAAAAGCCATACATAATGGGAGATTGTATTAGTTAGTCTTTTCTATTAGGATTTTCAAAGTACCTTTGGTCACAGGTGCTGTACCATTTTCTAAATCCGGCTTGTTCTGGTCTTTTTAATGTTTTTATTGTCCTCTTTTATTTGTTTTCTTATTACTCGATTCAGTTCCTTAAATTCTGCAGTGTCCCTTTTGTTTTGTCTCAAAAGATCTTTTCTTTGTTTTAGGTCCAAAAATGGATAATAATATTCAAAAATGTTAAATTATAAAATTAATAAAAATATAGATATTCGACAACTCAAAAACGTTTAATATTTGATAACAGTTCAATATACGATGCTCAAAAACTATTCAAAAATTTAATATTCAACAAAAAAAATTTAAAATCCATTTATAAAATTCAAAAATTTGATAACAAAACTCAAAATTATATTGAAAGGAAGTTATAAGGAAGGATAAAAATAGAATAAAAATTACTTACATACTACACTTGTGTCAATGTTATAAAAAATACAAAATAAATTGAAGTTCATCTAGACGCATAAGCAGATATGTGAAACTTTCACGTGCAAAACCTAACATGTCTAATTTTTAAACCAAAATAACTTTTTACTTTTTACTAACAAGTCTGATTTATGTTTTTTCATTCCATTCATTCATTCCATTCGCCAGGGTGAAGGTTTCTTTCCGACATTGCCTTCTGAATGCCGCCCAGCCAGGATTGTTTTGATCTTCCTCTCTTCCTTCTTTCCCTTGGGGTCCATTTTAAAATTTGGTTTGACAGCCTGTCGTCGTCCATTCTTTTCACATGACCATACCAGATCAGTTGTCTCGTTTGAATTTCGTCAACGATGGTTGGCTTGACTCCCATTATATTTCTGATATAGCCATTTTGTATTCTATCAAGCCTTGATTTTCTAGCTGATCTTCTCCAGAAGTCCATTTCCAATGCAAGTAGGCGTCGCTCAAGGGATTTAGTAAGTTACCATGTTTTGCATCCATAGAGCATCTTTCCTTTTAAAGATGGAGTTAAAGAGGAGATGCTTTCTTTGATTTGATAGTTCTTTTGACCATAGGTTTAGGCATCATATCACCCTTTTTCCTTTTTCCTTTTTTCCTTTGAATTTCGTCAATGATGGTTGACTTGACTCCCATTATATTTCTGATATAGTCATTTTGTATTCTATCAAGCCTTGATTTTCTAGCTGATCTTCTCCAGAAGTCCATTTCCAATCCAAGTAGGCGTCGCTCAAGGGATTTAGTAAGTTGCCATGTTTCGCATCCATAGAGCACTATACTTTTAAAGATGGAGTTAAAGAGGAGATGCTTTCTTTGATTTGATAGTTCTTTTGACCATAGGTTTAGGCATCATATCACCCTTTTTCCTTTCACGATTCTTTGCTCTATCTCTTTTTCGGTGCGCCCAATCTTGTTGATTGTTGTTCCCAAATATATATACTCCTCACAGTTCTTGATTGTTTCATGTTCGTTGACCATTAGATCTTCTTCTTCATTCCCGATGCATAAGTATTGCGTTTTGTTTCTATTTACAGAGAGGCCCCATTCTTCATATGTTTTAAACAACCGTCTCGTCATGAATTCTAAATCTTCCTTTTCTGCTTCCACTACTACTTGGTCGTCCGCAAAATGTAGAGTGTATAATATTGTATCGTCGTCAAGTTGGATCCCCATTCCTGAATAGGATCTTCTCCAGTGTTTTAGTGCTTCATTTAAATAGATCTTAAATAGTATTGGAGAGAGGCAGCATCCTTGTCGTAAGTCTT